GGGGGGGCGGCGTGCTGGGCGACGGGGGCGGAAAGCGGGGACGTCGGAGGACACGCTATCGGGGATCGTCCCCGAGCTGCTCGCACCTCTGAAGAAGCTGAGCTCTTTCCATACAGGTAGCTCGGACGTGGAATTGCAGGCGTTTCGCGGTAAGGGCAAGGGCGACTGAAACACTGATCTTTCCAGCGTTTCTCCCGGCGCGCTGCTGACGCGCTGCCGGAGCTGTGAAGTCAAGGGATTTCACACGCGGCCGCAGGCACAGCCCCTCCGCCTACGCCAGCGACTGTCACATCGGGACTGTCACATCCCGCTCTCGGGAGGACAGAGCCGAGGTGCCACCCTCGCTCCGCAGGACGTCCAGGCTGTCAGGGCACGTCTGCGCGCTACTGCCCGCGCTGCCGCTGCGGTGCCTGCCCAAAGCCGCCGATGGCAGCTTGGCCTTTCCAGTGGCCCTTGCGTTTTTAGCAACACCGGCAACAAACACTCCGCTTACACAGAGAAATCGCATGAGCCGCCGAAGGCCTGGCAAGCACGTACCCCGAGCTCTCGAGCAAGGACCTTGGGCATCTGCATACAAGTGAAATACTTCTACGTGAATAATGTTTACCATCTCACTCCAGTGAGGTTTGGTCTGAGCACTGACACCAGTGTTTACTACAAAATGGTCACTGTGTAGCCGTTACTGTATGTAAACACTTAGAGCAATTTAGTGTCTCGGTAAGCCTAGGTTTAAACGAGGTCTTCTCTTACCATTCCTTCAAACGGTCTTGTGGCATCTTTAGTTTATTTGCTGGGATTTTATGCACGGGCTTTGATTACGGTAAGAATCTGCACATTGACAATCTCTCAAATAGCAGAGTCAAGACTGAAGGAAGTAAAAATGCAGTTGTCTTCATTGCATAAAATACATAGTGAACAATTTGCTGTGACACCGTAATTGTAAAGAACTCTGCAGCCCCAAATCTGTGTATAAACTATAATCCTCTCTTTTAAAGATAAAATGTAACAAAAATGATCACAGTGGTTTGTCTATTCTGTAACTTGCACAGGCTTTCAACATGCTGTCACAGTAAAACCTGCCTCAGAAGCCTGGCCTGGTGTGCATCGGTGTATGTTAGGAGAAAACTTGAGTCTGTCTGTGTTGTGGCACACACCAAATTACACCTCTGTTTGCAGGGTGAGTAAGCCAAGTACACCATACGCTGGGCTGCAGCTTCATGTGTGGGCCTGAGATAGATGAGTTGCAGCCTTTCGTGGGAGGGCCAAAAAGGCAAATGGATTTTGTCAGCACCATGGGACTGTGCTGCCTTCGTAATTCTACAGGTGTGCTGCAGTGAGGTACAGGCAGCTTGTATCTGATGCATCTTATGTGTGATGCACCTTTTATCGGTGTGGATGCACAATGCCAACTCAGCAACGCAGGCTGTAGCCAGTCTCACCTGGTCTCCTCGGGTATGAACATAGAGAGATGCCTTAAAAGAATCACAAGGAGAAATGTCAATGCATTTCTCAGGCAGAGTGTGTTTCTCTATTAAGAAAGGCAGTGGCATGGCACTCTTCAAAATGCAATTGAGAAAAACACTCCAGAAAATTGTTATTCAGGCGGATGTTTTAATTGTCTAAACAGTCAACAGAACAGGTCCTGACTATTAAACTGAAAGGGGGAAGTCTCTTATAGCTACAGCACAAAGGCAGAAAAAGCAGGTACTCCTCCAGTTGTGTCACAGAACTTTTTCCCTGGCTCTTGCTTATACCCTTACTTAAAAACAGCAGTTCAGCTCCGTGGAGCACTGTAAGACAATCAGTTAAAGCCCCTGGTGGGTAAGCATTGGAACAATACTGATAAAATGAGTACCTGGGAATAGACACCATAGCAAATTAGTTTTGTGCTAATGCTCCCTTCCACGAAGACATAAGGAAACTGTGCTTGAGTGAAGTATCTTTTAATCTATTAAATTTGTGTAAACAGAGAAATAAATGGTAAATCACAATTTAAGTGGTAGAGATTCATGAGGAGGTTTTAGGAGGACTTTAATCACCTTCATCAATCCTCTGCTGTTGGTGAAAGTATCTACTGCTATCATTCGCTTGAGCTAGTTAGCCCTCATTCATTCTACATGTTAGAGGATAAGGATACCTTAATATATTAGCCTCAAATGGAGAAAAAAATCCACAACTCTGAAAAATGACCGGTAGATGATTATGGTTTTTTAATACAAAGGAACACTAATAATAAACTGAGTGGGGTTATATTTTTAAACCAAAAAGGTCATGGGTATTCGGGTATCTCCTCAAGATTCTTTTAGGTCAACATCACTACTGAAAGGTTACTTGTCCCCTGAAAATATCTGATATTCTTGAGATTCTGCTTCCATCATCCTTATATAGTGTTCTTTTAATGTAAGGTTACGTTTTGTTATCTACTGTGTATGGTACTTACCTTCACAGATGACAATGCTGAGGATGTTTTTTCCAAAAGAAAAACTTCATTTAGTTGTCAGTCCTAATACTTACAGGCACTTTCTTATTTACATAGCCACAACTGAATAATAGTTACAGTGGGTGTTTGAATAACTAGTTGCAAAATTGGGCTCTCAGATCTCATTGTAGAAAGGAACAGTATTTCTCTAGTACACTCCACAAAGGTCTATGAAATATATAAGACAATATAAATAATGCTCACCTCCCAGTGTTGTTTATTAGGACATCACATCTTAAAACATATCCTTATTTGATTTTGCTAAGGCCAGTCCCTAATTAATAATTAACATCAAAATACTAAAACTTGACATAAGAGCTAGTCAAAATTCAAAACATTTTTCACTGACATTACAGCTGCTGCAGCAATGTTTCATGAAGTTGCTTTTTTGAAGTATGCAATAAGATCAGCCCTTTCATTCTGCTTTTTAATTCCAGCAAAAATCACTTTTGTACCAGGAATTTATTTCTTAGGGTTCCCCAAATACTCCATCAGTGTATTCTCTCTCCAGTCAACTCCTGAAAAACAAAATCATTGTAAAATACAAGGCTGGCCCAATGTAATATATTTATGAAAATATCAACAATCTCAAATCAAACGTGTGATGCTCCTGAACATGTGCCTAGAATCCAAGAGGAATGTGAGCATAAATGATATAGAATATAAAATGCACAAGGTATACATTGTCTTTGTGTCACTTTAGTAAGTCAAATATAAATCCAAAAGGATGCATCATGGAGAGTTACAGTTCTTTGCACCATTTTACGCACAACTACTTACTACTTTTAAACTATGTAAGTATCTTCATAATTCCAGTATCCAGAAGATCCAACTTTCATTTCATACAGTTGTTGAAAATGAGCATCTACAGATTGACATGAAATTATCAAGGCTGTGCTCCATTGAAGGGCATTAGTAAAAGGGTTGTCAATGAGGTTGTCAAGAGTTCCTGGAATCTCTTGACTGAAGTTGAAAAACCGTTAGTGTTTCCTTCCAACCCTGCTAAAAGCTCTCTCTGACAACAGAAGCCTGTTGTGCTGAAGACTACTGAAATACCTGTAACCACATGTTCAAGTTTCTCTTCTGTCCTCCAGAGTTGACTCTTCCCACTGTCTAAAGTGGATTTAGGCATCACTTTGTTGGCTTTCTTTTAAAAACTTGTACTAACATCTGTATGATTTGTTCACTAATTTTTAATGAAAAAAAAATAGTTAATATATGCTGACAATGTTTTGTATGAAGGGAGTCCCAGTGTAAAGTGCATATCACAAAACATTTCCTAGAAATCACAGAAAAAAAAAAAAGTCAGCCAATTTTAAAGCACCTTAGTAACCAGAAAAAAACAGGACTGTATTGTAATTAGTAGCTTGATTCAAATAATATAATTTATATTCAAATAATATAAATAAAAACAGTGAAACCCACACAGAATTACTTTCCATTTTTAGATGTTCCACTGCTTTTCAAGACTGTCTGTATGAAAAACACAAGACAAGTCATAGCTTACTAGTAGGTGACAGTATTTAGTCAAGTGTTATGAGCAAAACAAGTGCAGCACACCACGATGCCAGTAGAGGGTAGTGACCAGCAAACGACATCTAAAAGCAGTCTTAGGAAACAAAATCTGCCCATTGATACTACAGAGTTCTGGGAAAGCTATATACCTTCTGACCTGGTGTGCTGAATATTGGTAAAATTTCTTTTAATATAGGGACCAAGGATTTTTGTTTCTGAAACTATAGTTCAGATTCATCTGCAGTAATGCAAAATAGACAGCTGTGAGAGTAACTCCTTGTAAGTAAGGCTTTCTACTGTACCTCTAAAGAAAAAGTTTCTTTTCATATATGTCCCTTCTAACACTGCACCTCATCCATGTCACGTGTTAGTTTTACTTTTGTTCTTGTTTGCATCTGAGTAAGAAAATCCTGCAGCTTGTCCTGATCTGAGGCCAAATAAACCCCAAAGATTTGGTCCTGTCTTGTGCTTTCCATCTTTTTCAACTGTGTGGCACTGAGAACATTTCTGAATAAAGATCTTGCCTTTTTCAACATCACCCATTTTGGTCTATGTAAAACAAATCTAAAAAAATGGAAATTTGAACAATATTACAGAGAAGCTCACTGTTGTTGGCCACATTTATAATCTCCTTCAACAGTTTTATAAAATATTTCTGTCTTGCATGATAATAAAAAATAATGTGTCTTAAATTAATGAAAATTTGACCCGGATTTAATTGTAAAGGTAAGTTTGGGTAAGACTCTGTTAAGCTGCCTGATTTCTTAACATGATCTGGTTGCTGATGGTCACGAATTAGTTTTTTTTTTAAGTTATCCAATTTACAATTAGGAAAAAGCACCATGGGTTTTTTTGCTGCATCTCTGAGAGGTGCCTAAGTACAGAATTTGTTATTCTTAACTTTAGAGGTTAAGGAAGCTTTTAAGTTCCTCAGTTGCTCTTCTAGAGCTACTTCAGTGGTAAGGGTAAAGGTCAACATACTTTTGTCTAGAAGGCTGATCTAAAACAAACACAGCAGCACCTCAGGATTTCCCTGTGGGTGACAGCGCTACCTAGAATGTCTCCACAACTGTAGAATTAAACTCCCTTCTCCAGTGCCCGTCAGGACGCGTTCATGATAAGAGGGATTTCCAGTGGCCTGGACAGTGGGAGAAGGTACCTGCGAGGCTGCCCTCGGGCCCGTGTCCGCTGGGGAACAAAGGGGTGTCGAGCTCCTTTTGGCCCTTGGAGGGCACGAAAGGCGAGGCCGCCCCGCTGCTCCCCGTCGACCCCCGGGCACCGGCCACCTCTCCTAAGCCCAGCGAACCACCCGCCGCCGCTCTGCACTCAGCCTGTCCAAAAGCAGGTGACATCAAAGCGAAGTCCAATCGCAGAGAGGTTAACTCAGCACCCTCTCTCCTGATTGGTGGGTCGCAGGTCCACGGGGCGGGATTCGCCTTTCTCTCTGGGAGGAGCCGGAGGCGGCGTGTGTCGCGGTGCCAACGGCCGCAGCGGCCGGCGTCAGGCCGCGACGCTGTCATGGCGCCTGAGGCAGTGCCGCCCTCCCTCTGCAGGCACCTTCCCCACGCCGAAACGCTTGCTTTTCTATCCGAGTGGCGTTGCGGCCCTGTCACGGCTTCACTCTGCAGTGCCAGGCAAAAATGGTGTCAGGAGTTGGGGAAAAATGAGCACAGAGTTTGGTGCTGGAAGGCACGTCGCCTTCCAGCCCTAAAACACTGCCTCTGATGTTTTGAGTCATAACAGTGCTTTTCTCTAAAGGCTTCCCATTGCTGTGCAAAGAAAGAGCTTCCTAGATTTTCCAACATACTCCTTTACATGGAACCAAACCCAACCACTATATCCAAAGTATGTTCCTAAAAATGCTCATCGACCTTCTACATTACACTCCCAAAACAGGACACCCTTTAACCCCCACAAAAATGCTGCTTCCAAGGCCGCTGCCAGGACTGCGCAGTGCTCAAAATACTGACTCCTCCAGATCTTCGGATCGCCAGACCTTGCCTCCATGAAACTTCGCTGACAACGAACTTGACAACTACATCTGTGTGTGTGAAAAGAAGGGGGGATTTCTGCATGTTTAATTTGTGTGGAAAATAATAGAAAGATTGCACACCCCGATCCCCTGATTTCTTCATCTAACCCCATTTTGCACCAGGAGGTGTTGGTCTGTTATCATCCCAGTAAGAACGGCACTTAGACTCTGTAAAGTATCATCTACAATGCTATTTATTTACAATACTAACAGAAGAGGATAAATAGCATAGATGATTTCACGTCCCTTCAGATGGTGGGAGGCCCAGGTGCTTGTAGCATTGAGCGGGCCACCAGCCCACACACAGCATGCCATGCAAACCTCCTCCATAGCAGAGATTCTCCCCTTTCGGTCTTTCAAGTGTTTATGAGATTTTCTTACAAGGAAACAACTCCTTTCATTTCTGCAGTCAAAACAAATGGTCTCATGAGACGTTCTTGCTGCACTGTTAGATAAAGGCAAGGCTGGGCAGGAGGTGTAATTGCCGGTAGTGAGTGGGAGCAGTCCGCAGGCTCCTCTGTAATGAAGAGCTGGCTGAGTTTATTCCATGGCAGAGGGACGCAAGCGGCATGGCGCGGCCTGAAGGCCAGGCTGTACCCGCAGCACAGCTCAGCACAGCCCCAGCCTGCGCCTCACCGAGTTAACTGTCCTGTGGATCACTGCCCCCTCGATGTGCAGTGGTCACGGCCACTACAACCCTAGGGCACTGACAGCTCTGGTATTCAGCTGAGGAATTCTTTATTTTTGAGTCCAACTATTAAAGATGTGATGAACTTTATAACAACATTGCATTCTTCACATTTTATTAGCTGTGTGCTTATTTTCCTACAGATAGTTATTTTTCCTGGATATTTTTTGTGCTTGTTTCTCATGGAATACATTGAGTTCCATGGGCCTCTGTATCCTGAGAGTTCACAAGATGCACATTAAGCGCCATTGTTGCCTATGTCAGCAAAGGCCTCGAGAATAGTTTCTTCATGGGTCAGGGCAATCCCAAGCACAAATACAGGCTGGGCAATAAGTGGATTGAGAGCAGCCTGAGGAGAAGGACTTGGGGGTGTTGGTTGACGAGAAGCTCAACATGACCCAGCAATGTGCACTTGCAGCCCAGAAAGCCAATCATATCCTGGGCTGCATCAAAAGAAGAGTGACCAGCAGGTTGAGGGAGGTGATTCTCCCCCTCTGCTCTCGTAAGACCCCACCTGGAGTACTGCGTTCAGCTCTG